TTTGAGAGACATCACTATGGGCACAGTTCGAGTTTTCTCATTCAGCTCTTTTTTTTCTTTAGGTGACATTTACCGTGTTCCTGCATTCTTGGATATTGATACACCAACAGGTCCAAATATTTTCCATTGAAACACAGGTCTGCCTTGAGGAGTAGAATTCATATATGGAAATCAGCTTTCTGTGCCACTTGGTTGGCTGCTGGTGACTGTGACTTAAACATAGTCTCAGAGCCACCTAAGGAAGTCTGGAGGAAGTTGAGCCTCCTTTAGTGTGGCTAGAGAAGGATAGTTTCCCAAATTCCAAGGGAAAGCTGCCGCACCCCACCTTAATCCAGTGTTTGTACGTGGACTGGGACCTACCTGGGAAGAGAGGCCCTGGGGCCCGGCAATTCCCCTTCTGAAAGTGGATAGGTGTGAGATGTTTCTCCACGGATTTCCTCCCCTATATGATGTGGGAGAGGAGACTGGAAACAACCTAAATGTCCAGCAGCAAGGAACAGACCGTAACTCATGGCAGCCCATGCAGATCTGCCAGCTTCCAAGGGGGCTGTAAAATGGGTTTGATGTCCTGGGAGATGTTCACAGTAAGTGGGGGAAAGGAGAATACAATCCAAATGCCGGTTGTTGCTTTTTTTTTTTTTTAAGGTACATATATATTTTTTAAAAGTCTGAGAAAGAAATTCACCTAAATAGAAACAGTAGCTCATAATGCAATCATAATAGTCCAGGTTTTAGACTTGTCCCTGTTGTGGTTTTCTGTATTTTCCAAATTTCCACCCACCAACAAGAATAGCTTTCTCAGTGAAAATGTTCAAGGGTCCCTGGGTGGCTCAGTTGGTTAAGCGACTGCCTTTGGCTCAGGTCATGATCCTGGAGTCCCAGGATCGAGTCCCACCGGGCTCCCTGCTCAGCAGGGAGTCTGTTTCTCCCTCTGACCCAACCCCCTCTCATGCTCTCTCATTCTCGCTCTCTCTCAAATAAACAAATAAATAAAATCTTTAAAAGAAAATGTTCAAGCCCCACTTCACTGAGGCATAACTTAAAATAAAATGCACCCTAATTTTAAGGGCACCATTCAATGAGTTTTGACAAATGTCACTGCCTGTTACTCATCCCCTCAATCATGAAAAAGGACATTCCCCTCATCCCAGAAAGCTTCCTCTTGCCCCTTTCTGGTCAATCCCCACCCCCATCTCCCGCCTCAGGCAACTACTGATGAGCTTTTTGTCCCTATGGACTAGATTTGTCTTTTTTTTTTTAAGGGTTGCTACTGCATTTTAAAATAAGAACTAAACATGGCAAAGATAGCCAGAGTAGTCTTTAAATAAATAACAATAGCTACCCCTTCTATTATGCACCCACATATGCCATGCGATCTCTATGTAAGTATTTATCTCCCCATTGATAGAAAGATCTTTGCTAATTCTCACATTAACTCATCTGGAGGTTAAAAGCATTCCTTTTGCTGTCTTACAAATAAGGAGGCTCAGAAAAGTCTTCCCTCCCCCCCCCCCCCCCCCCCCGCCACGGCCTCTGCCAATTTCTGGGCTAGTGGGGTGCCGCTTTTTTAGGATAATGATCCTAGGAGGGGAAAAATGGATTTTGAGGACACGGAATGCTTTGGGGGAAATGATGCATGTTCTAGCAGATTCTAGCCAAAGTATTGGACTGACTCAGGCATCCCTGAGTTCCATTCTTGGCTTGGCCGGGTACCAGCGGCTTCCCCCAACCCAAGTATTCATAGTCCTTTCTGTTCCAGGCTTGTTTTGCAGTTCTTACTTTTTGATGAAGATTTTTTACCACCACCCAGAAGTTTCTGTAATTACAAAGAACTTCTCAACTGTGGGGCGGGGGCAGGGGATTTGGGATGGGCATGAGGAGGTGCTTATGTACTTAAGAAGGCATGTTTGATATTGTAACGTAAATTTCTAGCCATAAAGTGAAAAGAAAAACAACTATTTTCATAATGCAAAGACTGGAAGCGAAGCGGAACAAGATTTTCGTAGCTGCTGGGATGTGGGTTTAGAAACAACGAAAATCCCTTAGTGTGGATCTCATTTGCCACCATCAGGACCAACTCAGACAAGCTTGGGTTGAGAGAGGGTGACCCCGGGAAAAGGGTTTAGGGCAGCTCCAAAGATCCCAGCTGATATCAAATCCAGAGCAAAGCACCTGGGCCTGAGACCCCTGAGGCCCTGCGGGGGCTGAGCGGGGCATTGGGGGTGACTTGGACTCTCGCTCCAATTGCCCTTCCACTCAGTGAATGAAATCTCACCGGGGTAAGTCACCTGGTTCAGCCATCACCAGAAGAATCCAGATCATCCCATCCCAGCATATCGCTGGCTGCAGGGGTGGGAGACTGCACTGGGTTCCTCCTGGGCATCGCTCACCTGGAGCGTTAGCCGCAGCGCCCCCTGCCGGCCAGCACCGCCTTTCCTCTGCCCCTCTAGTCTCCAACACACAGACCAGGGGTATCAGCAGACCTGCCAGGCCCCTAGCTCAGGCGAGCTGGGTGCAAACACTTGCTGCCTGTCTGGACAGCTCTGCATGCCTCAGTTTCCTGATCTGCAGCATGGATTAATCACCCAGACTTTCAGAGCACCCTGTGACTATGAAATGCGTATGACCCTTAGTCGACCCTTAGGATGGCCGTCGCTCTTCATGAACTGTATCTGGTACCTTATGTCCACTCTCCCATGTGACCCCAGGACAAGACTCAAAGCAGGCATAAGGAGGCCACAGGCCCAGCAGGTCTATGACCTGCCCAGGGAGTGGCCAGGCATAGATCTGTGGTGGAGCGAATCTGACCAGGGAGCCCTCGCCCCTGCCTGGAGGCCACACCACCTCTCAGAGAGGAGGCACGGCCTGGATTTACAACTTGATGGCCTAGGTTCCGATTCCACGTCCACCGCTTGCAGGCTGGGTCCCACTGTGCTGGGGCCCTCGTTTCCTATGTGTTCAAGGAGGTGGGGACAGAATACCATGGAGGTTCTTATAGGGGTTTAAGCTGAGAATACCCATAATGTGCTTAGAACAGGGCCTGGGCATAGGAAGCTGCAGCCTTTACCACCTTCCCGAGCTCCGTGATCACAGTGGACTCTCTCCTGCCACTGTGGTCATGGGACGGGCAGCAAAAGAGCAGGGGTGGGGCCAGAGGCGGGGGTTCCCCGCCCCCAGACCCCATTCGGGGTGCATCCCCCAAGGCAGCTTCTGCCATCCGCCTCAGTGCCCCACATTTATCCAGGATCTTTAAAACGAAAGCTGCAGGGGAGGGTAATTAAGTTTAATAGGAGCCGCTGTCGATTTAAAGCCACAGGGGGGAAGTAATTAGATTTAACAGAAGCAGTGGCTTTCTGAACCAAGACACGCAGCGTGGGGGTCCTGGTCTATAAAGCCTTTGAGATGATGTCTTTTTGTAAAGCCTTTCCTGGTGACATTTTCTGCACGCTCAGTCATTAACGCCAGTCACTGACTGGGGTATGAACATGGCCTTTACTCATTGAAATTCATTAGGCCTGGCACTGATTTCTCTCCCTGAATCCAACTGCTTGCCCGCCCATCGCCTTTGCGCTGAGACAGCATGGCTTTCCCCCCAAAACTGGCCTCCTGGGGGCCCCCACACCCCACACCTAGGGGAATTGGAGAAGAAATGAGAATCAGTGTTGAGCCGAAGATCCCTAGGAGGACCCTCTCCTTCCCGCCAGGGCATTCTCTGGATGCTTTTTCCCTTTTCTGGGCATCACTAGAGAAAAGTCTGGTTTGCAGGAGCGACTTCACCAAGTGGCCCCAATTTCCCGGCCTGGCGCCCGCCCCCAGCCCAGCAGCGCCCCTCACTGCCGCTCTGCCCCTCCCCGACCTCTCCTCCCCCCCAGTCCCCCAAGACATCGCGCCCTGGCCCGGGAGAAGAGCTCAGGGACCCAGGGACCGGACCAACGACAAAAGGCACTCAAACACAGAGGGGCCTCCCTGCGCTGCGCCTGGCCGGAGCTGGGAAGCCAGAGTTTCCCCGTCTGCAGAAGCAAGCCCACCTTGCCCCCGCGAAAGGCGCCTTCAGGACGACCGCCCATCCAGGCTCCAGCTCCGGGGACCGCGGCGCGCTCAAGCCGGCGCAGAGGCCGAAACCCGGGCGGAAGCGCCATCTAGCGCTCGCCGCGCGCCACTCCCCCATTGTTCCTCCCAGGACTCGAGCCCGGCCCCCCGTCGGGGGGCAATTTACCGGGGTAAAAGGGGCGGGAGGGGGGCCGGGATCGCGAGAACATAAGACCAGGAAAACGTGAGCTAGTCCGAGCGGCAAGGGGAAATTCTAATGGACGGCTTCGCATCTGGAGATATGACGGTTAGGACCGTCGTGGGAGGGAGTGGATGTGGGCTTTTAAGAAGAGAGAGCCCCAAAGCCAAGGCGAAGCTTCTCCGGACAGGGGGTGAGGGATGCAAAGGTCAGTGCCCCAGTCTCTGGTCACGGGGTTCCTGCTCCCAGCTCCTGCTAGCGCCCCGCCACGAGCGCATTCCCTGGGGGAGCCGGTGGTGTGGGGGCGGGGACCGGTTGTCTCCTTTATTGCTTTATAAAATCAAACTCTCCCAGCCAAGAGAGACCTGGCCCCCGGCCCCTGCGCTGCGGGGAGGAGCTCCCCGAACCCTCCGGTGAAACGGGGCCTCCTCCCCCAGATCCGGGAGGCCTGGGCGGGGTCACCCGGGCGGGGTCCGGGGAGGGGCTGGGGCAGGAGGCGGGGTGTGAGTGGGTGTGTGCGGGGGGCGGAGGGCTGATGCAATCCTGATAAGAAATGCTCGGGTGTCGCGGGCACCCACCCGCCGGGAGGGTAAGACGCGCTATATAAGGCCGCTGGCCTCGAGCCGCCTGCCGTCGGAGCAGGAGCGCTGAGCGCCCGGAGCGCACCGCTGGCTCGAGGGACGCACCCCGCCTCGGCACGCACGGCTCTGCTGCCACCCAGCCTCCCGCACCCTCGCCGCCAGAACTGCGTGCGGAGCCCGAGGGAGGTGCCATGCGGAGCGCGCTGAGCTGGTGCGCGGTAGCCCGCGCCCTGGTCCTAGCCGGCCTCTGGCTGGCCGCAGCCGGGCGCCCCCTAGCCTTCTCGGACGCGGGGCCGCACGTGCACTACGGCTGGGGTGAGCCCGTCCGCCTACGGCACCTGTACGCCGCCGGCCCCCACGGCCTCTCCAGCTGCTTCCTGCGCATCCGCGCCGACGGCGGCGTTGACTGCGCACGGGGCCAGAGCGCGCACAGTGAGTGCCCACTCGCCTCGGCGCCCCTTCCCTTTACCTCCTTCGGGAACCCCACGTTTTGGCACCTCTGCGTTCTGCTCCCGGCCCGCGGCCCCTGACAGCGCGAGGAGCTGGGGGGGGGGGGCGCCGGCACGTGGACCCACCGCACCCACGCGTTATCCTTCACTTGCCCCCTTCCCTTCCCGCGGACCCCCCACTCCCAGGAACCCCAGATCTTGGCACGTGGGCGGCCCATTCCCTCCCCAGAGTCCTAGACAGCACAAGGCGATGGGGGAGTGGGGGAGGGCCTGGGCCTGTGCACCCACCTCATCCACGTGCTGTGGGCCTCGCGGGTCCCGGCTGCAGCCTTCTGCTTCTCTCGCGCCCAGGTCTGCTGGAGATCAGGGCAGTCGCTCTGCGGACCGTGGCCATCAAGGGCGTGCACAGCGTCCGGTACCTCTGCATGGGGGCCGACGGCAGGATGCAAGGGCTGGTAGGTATCTCCACCGGGTAATACGCGCTGGGGCGCGGGACGTACGCCTGTCCCCAGGCGGGGCCCCGCAGGGGAGCGGGGCACGCAGGATCCAATCCAGGCTCTCCCCGCTTTCTGCCCCGGGTCCGGCGTGGAGCTCGGAAGGGAAGACGGCGAAGGGCCAGATTAAGCTGAAGTGAGAATTTTTTTCTACGGAAGTTTATGGGTCCCGGCTAGTAGCCAGAGGGTGAGAGCTGCCTTTGCATTTTCAATTGCGCCGAAGGCCGGCCCAGTGGGACGGAGGAAACGCAGTGTTCGGCTTTCTTTGACATTAAACAGTGAGACCCACCTCGGGCCTTTTCAGTCCCGGCCTGCGCGTGTGTGGTCCTCGCCTCCGTTTCCCTCCCTGCGGTATGAAATAAAAGGAAGGCACGAAAAAGTATATTCACAACTTGGATCTTTTTTAAAAAAGCCAATCTTCAAATAAGTCAGAACAAATTACATTCGGGATGGGGGAGATTTTTTTTCTTAATTTTTATCCACTAGAAAAGGGTGGTTTTTGGTGACACGTTAGAAGAATATTCCAGTGGCGTTTGTCCTCGTGTCGCGCTCACCTGTACCGCAGATGCTTTTGGGGGAGGGTGCTGGGGGCGC